TCAATCAGCTACTTGTGCACGTAGTTATGAAAAGTAAAAATGGAAAAGAATCTGGAGTGACAACCTAGGAAATAGTGAAAAGTAGAATGCTTGGTGGGGATCATGTTCAATTCCTAAAGAGTGGTATGAAGAGCTGATGCTTCTTTAAGATCAAAGTCTTCATGTGGAGATTGGTGTTAAAACAAAATACCTACAGCTAATCATCTCTTCAACAAGAGTACAATATCTGCCCTTTCAATAACTCTGCAACTGTTGAGCAAGTCCTGCTCTCTTGGAAGTTCCTTAAGGGGTCTGGTCTGAGTAAAAATGTATGGATCTCATCACCTACGCTATTATATAGGCTGTTTGGAAGAGAAGAAATGTCTTTCTTTTTAGGAAGAGAACCACCACATCGGCACAAATGGTCATTAATGTGAAAGCTTACATCTAGAACTGGAAAGGCACTAGTATCTTCAAGAAGCACACCCATTTTAAATTGCTTATCTTCTCATGTGATTCCATCATTAACTTATGTAATCTGAAATGATAAATTTACTTCCATGTATTGGGCAAAGCTCTATTTTAGCATTTCTGTAGCACTAAGTGCATTTTCGTTTTTCTCTCAACAAATGAGACCAACTTATCAATATATTGTTTCAATGACTTATCTGCACATTTTTAATTAACTATCAAATGCTTGAACTCAAACTATAACAACCAGTTTCCCCTATTAAATTAGAGAGTATTGATTTAACAACATAACATACAACAAATTTGTAGATTCTAAAAACAATATTATAGAAAACAATCAATAACATGACATATAAATAACAAAATAGAAAAGAGAGAAGTTAACCTCATCTTGCGGAGAACATTGGACATCTCCTCTCTCTTCTTCTTAGCTCTCTTGTGTGTACCCAACTTCCTCTTAGCAACTTTCAAAGCACGCTTATCTTTCCCAACTTTAAGAAGCTCAGTAATCCTCTTCTCGTAAGGGGCAAATCCAGCAACTTCCCTAATAAGATTCCTCACAAAATGAACCCTCTTGCTAGTTTTCTACAACACAAAATACCAACATTTAAATACAAAAAACCCCCATTTCAGAATCAAACAAACACAAAAACAAACGAATCAAGAAAAACAAAAGTACCCCTTTTCTTGCAGATGGACGAGGAGCTAGTTCTCGTTTGGTAACGATGTGACCTTTGTTAAGACCAACAAAGAGCCCTGATTTGGGCTGTGGAGGAGCCATTACCTGATATATGGCAAAAATAAATTTGATTAAGAAAATGGTTATTGTGAATAGATCAAATCGGAGAAGAAGGATTCCTTACCTCTAGCAGAGCAGAAGAAGTCAAGCAGCAATCTGTAATGGCCGAAAAAACCTAATTGTGAAATTTCTCTTCATTTATATTTATATATATAAACCCTAGAAAGTAAGTAGTAGGGTTTGTTTCAACTTGGGCTTCTCAAATGGGTTTTGGTATGGGCCATTTAATGAGCTTCAAATATGATCTTTAACATAGGCCTCGTACTGGATATATATGGGGCTTTGGGCCCAGCTCTTTAAAAACTTACAGTCTCACTTTTTACCACTCGGCCACTCTTCCCTTCCTGGGCTCGAGAATATAGCCGCTTAGAGCATTCCCAATGGTAGGTGGGCAAAAAAAGCATGAAATCCACCTCCAAGAGAAAAAAAGAGTTTTTCAATGGAGAGGTGAGAGTAGCCACCTCAAGGCCACCAAGGTGGGCATAAGGGTGGGGAGGCTCACCTTGGTGGCCACCTTGTGCAAAGACCACACGGCAGTTGGAATGTCTGGCCACAACAAACGGTTGCCGTGCCAATATCTATTCTATACGGCAATAGAACTGCCGGATCATTTCGCACGGCATTATAACTGCCGGTTCATTTCGCACAGCATTACAACTGTCGTTCCATTATTAAAAGCCATACGGCATTACAACTGTCGTGCGTCCCATATGCCAATAACGGCTAGTTGCCAACGGCTACTGGAACCAACGACTATATTTTTTGGATGTGTATATTAACCCAATATTTTCAACATTGTTCACACATATTCCTTTCTTGAAACTAAACAAAATCTTCTTCTTCTTATTCGAATTCAATTTTTTCCTGATTCATTGCTTCCCAACCATCTCAACCAAACCAATCACAATGAAGAGTGCAACAAGCACCTTGGACAATGCGCGAAGACCAAGTGTTGTGTGACGCTTGGGTTTCA